TGATGTCCAGGAGATTGAAACCGCAGGCTTCCTCCCGGAGCTCGACACTAGCGACATCCAGACGATGCAAGCCGTTGTAGCCCATAAGGTTCGACCCCACAGCCTTATGGTGCTGACGCTTCCCTCACCAAGATCTCCCTCATCGAGCGGGAACTCCCCTATCACGCCAAGGTTAGTTAACATCAAATCGCCGCGCCATGCTCGGTCAAGGTCTTTGCCCAATGCTGCTCCTACGGATGAACAACCATCCGAAGTTGAGCAGCCCGCCGAGCGCACGTCGCCTACTCCATCAGAGGAGCGAAGACGCCTGGAGACGATGTACGAGCATGACGAGGATGACGAGCGGCACGGTGGAGCGGCAACTAAATCAGAGACCGCCGAACAAAATGAACCGGTGGTTCCTAGCGCTGCACAGGGGGCCGCCGCGACCCCGTCCACATCGGTCGCATCGGTCGTAGCAACGAGTGACGCTAGTAGTACCCCAGTGTCGTCACCTTCTCTGACCGACCGTGAGATCCAAGAAACCGACGAGGTTGAGAATCATGAGACAGACGAAAAAGCTCAAGTGGCCTCTGGGGTAGAAATTGCTCCTGGGCCTGTCGCGCCACAAACGCAGGGGGTCGTCGACTCCACCCCGGCACAACCCGTCGCCGCCGATCAGGATGCGTCCAAGGCTGCTGATTGTGACCAGTCTACTCCCGACGACTTAACCCCTCCAACTGTTCCATCTTCTGCGGACGACATCGCCGTAGAGAAAGCATCTCGGCCTGTTTCAACTTCTGGAGAGAGCGCAATTTCGGAATCCTCACGATCATTGCCTGGCAAACGCGGCTCGTTCGTACCCGGGGTTCAGCATCAGTACGGGCGCTCGAGCCCAGGGACAGCCTCCGTCAGCTCCGGCGTCGAACGCGCCGCAGTCCAGCGATTGCCGGCACGACCATCCACTTCAGTGGCGTCTTCTGTCTATTCCAAGTCTCGTCGCTCAGGCAGTTTCAGCAGCAGCCGTGAGAAGCGTCCTGTCACTGCAGGTTCTACGACTTCTCAGGTATCGAGCAAGTTGAAGGGTCTTATCGGTCGCCCTGCAGATACTGGCTCGCTTCGTCTCCGTACCTCGTCTGAGGTCAGCAGGGTCTCGACAAGGGAGTCGGCTTACGACGATACGTCCGGCCTGGACGAGTTGATCCGCAGCGAGGAAACAATCCATTTCACCTTGACTCCCAAGAGCATGAGGGAAATGGAGGTGAGTCAGCCATTGTTCCGCTCCTTTTGCTATTGCTAATCCCTCTTATTAGTTGCCGGATTCACCTAGATGGCGTGCTCAGCAAGCAGGTACTGATCCGACCGACCTGCCGAAAAGCGTTGAACCGACCCCAGATGACATGTCTCGGTCGAGACACTCAACTGCATCATCGAAAAGCACGGTTGACCTTCCACCAGTACCCAAGTACATCCAGTCGAAACCCAAATCCATCGAAATTCCCGCCATGGTCCAACAGCAGAAACCGGCTGCCGGACAGGCTCGGGATGCGAAGCACAGCATGGAATCGACCCGTGATTTTGCAAACTTTTTGAAGTCCACCGGACCGAATACTCCTACCACTCCTGCAACGGTTGATGGTAGCCCTGCCAAGTCGTCGCGCCTGCGTCGGTTGTCTGATGCCACTGAGATTTCGAAGAAGCTGTCCCGGCCTGCGAGTAGCACTGTTTCTGTTGCAGCCTCTGCCCGTAGCGGTCCCCGCATGGAAGCCCGTTCTGCTGTGGTTCCCCGGGGTGATCAGTCGTCCGACTTGATCGATTTCATTCGGGAAGGCCCACCAACGGCTGGGGCTCATCGTATCCCGCGTACTGTTGCGCCTTTCAGGGATACCATGGACTCGGACGAGCTCCAGGCTATTGAGCCAGGTCGCACAAAGGGTGCCCCCTCGGTGGCTAGCACGCAATCGGTAGCTGAGACGTCTCTGGTCTCCGTGGGCTCTCGCACAGGGCTTCTGGAATCTACTAGTCGGACAAGCACTCCGACTGTCATGGCCAAGGAAACGAAGACGACATTTGCCGCTCCTGTGAGCGTATCCGATGACCACCGTCCGCCACGGACACGACGCCGTGTACCAGACCCTTACGCTATTGACTTGGACGATGACGACGAGCTTGATGAGCTTCTTGAAGAACCAAAGCCCAAACGTGATGAGGAGAGTCTGATCGACTTCCTGCGCAATGTTCCCCCGCCAGAGCCCACTCCGCCACAACAGCCTTTGGCGGCCAATGCAAACTCTCGGCGGGGCTCAGCATCAGTGAAGGCTCGTCTGCGTCGGAACACCGCATCCGAGAAGACACTTATGGCGAAACCCTCCAAGACCTCTCTGCGTCAACAGCCCGATAACTACATGGGAGGCGCTTCGAACTATACTGTCAAAGTCGGCATGGAGCGCAATGCGGGAGCCATGAATGGCGCCTATGACCTCAAGACTCCCTCGGTGCGACAGACCGAGACCAGCGCACTGGCAGATTTTCTCAAGAACACTGGACCTCCTGAGCCTCCCGTCAGCAAGGCTCCTGCTGCTACCAAGTCTAAGGACTCGGGATTCTCGCGACTCTTTGTTCGCCGCAAGAAGGTCGAGGCATGATGTGTCTCCTTCAATGCGTCTTATATTCCCCCTCCTGTGTCCTAATGCTCTACATTGTCACTCTCTAATCATTGCTTTGAACACGATATCATAATGTGTTAGGCAAACGACATGCCCTGTTCGCCGTGGCGAACTCTGATGACCGATACTGTCTTTTATTTCCTTGCCCTTTTCCTGTCCATATTGGAGCATTATTCTTTCGCTCATATCTTCTATTTCCTTTCCCTTTTGGATTGCGGTCTGCCTTTGCACCTCTTGAATGTATCACTCTTTCCAGCGGTATTTCTTTCTCACGCTTGATTCCCCCTCTACATTTCTTCCTTTATCTATCCACTACTTTGTGGACCTTTTCTTATTTACTTAGTATCCTCAGGAAGAGAGTTTCAATTATGGCCTATGAATGAGATTACTTGACTTTTCAAACGCCTAAGTTGTTGATAGAAAGCATTTTAACGACTTAATCGGATATTGAATCCCTTCACTATAATGATTCAAGTAGTAAGTAGGTGTCCAAAAACAATGTACCATGTGTAGTTTGTATAGATCCGGCGTGTGGGCCGATATCCGGAGAAACGTTCCACCGAACGATCGGGATCCCCTGGGCTCCAGAGCGCGGCGTGGCATCAATAGCAGCAGCACAGCAGCTTCCGAGCCTCGTTGTCAATTATAGTCTCCTTCCCCCCGGCCACTGCCACAACTGCCATTGACAATGGCGGCCACCCGTCTCACAATGAGGTCTTTCCTCGGTCTTCTCTTCCTCTTGTTCGTTCAACTCACCTCCGCCCTGAAGTTCGACCTCTCTGCCGTGAGCGGGAAGAACGAGCGATGTATACGCAACTTCGTCTTCAAGGACCAGCTTGTGGTCGTCACGGCCATTGTGAGCGGAAACAAGGGTGATGGTCAGGTTGTTAACATGCATGTATGTGGGAACTCACCCCATTGTTGTTTGTGGTGATTACGGGAGGCACGCTGGTCGGGCCAGCTGTTTTGTTGTCTCCCCGATGTCCTATTCCACCTTGAAATTGTGTCGCTTGCGAAAGAAAGGATATACTTGGCTAACTATTTTGCTTTCTGAAATAGATCAAGGATGCGCTGGGCAATGACCACGGTCGTCCTAAGGATATTGCCGGAGAGACTCGCCAGGCCTTCACTTCTCCCGCTGATACTGCCTTCGATGTTTGCTTCGACAACCAGCTCACCACTCGTCGTATGTCTATCCACCTTGGTTATTCTGTCTCTTGATATGCTAGGGATACTAGTTGCTGTGTGGTGTGTGTATGTGGTGCTAACCAGACAACCCTATCAGACGCCGTTGCCAACCCCTACAAGTCCATCGAGCTCGACGTCGACATCGGTGCCGATGCCCGTGACTGGTCTAGCATTCAGGTCCAGGAGAAGCTCAAGCCCGTTGAGACCGACCTCCGCCGTATCGAGGAGATGGTGGCCGAGATTGTCAGCGAGATGGAGTACCTGCGCGCTCGCGAGCAGAAGCTGCGTGACACCAACGAGAGCACGAACGAGCGTGTGAAGTGGTTCGCTTTCGGTACTATGGGTATGCTGGTTGGATTGGGTGCTTGGCAGGTTGTGTATCTGAGGGCTTACTTCAGGTATGTTCTTTCCCTCTCTATGATGCTTCCCCTAGTCTGGTATTTGGGTGGTGTGGCTAACTGCTTTGGATTTGTAGATCCAAGCACCTTATCTAGACCATGTCGGTTTAAATCTAGAATCGTGAGAAAGAGAAGGTTCCAGGTTGATGCTTTCTCTCTTGTCATGACAAAATATGGACTATTTCTTTTCAATGCATTTCATTATCATCTTGGCCCTATGTAGCTCCGGGATTTGCTTCACGGTACACTGATTGATTATTTGATGAGGAGTATGACAACTGTGCATGTATATTGGTGCTGGTGATCGGTATTATTATCAAATTTCTAGCCATTTTCAACCACATAGAAAGAAGGCCTCTACCCAAGTCGAAAGACCATCGCTAGGTGCTGTAGTATGTCACCACGAAGCCGCTAGCAATAAGACAGCCAACGCGATACTGTGTAACTCCAGACTGGATTCCCTGCTAGTCAATAAGACTTCACTCTTCGAGAGCCAATTGCAGCCCACAGACTCTGACATCCTGCAGTCATAGCAACATCAGCGAAGCAAGGGGAGCAAACCAACCGCCGTTGGAAATGCGCCGGAGACGGTTGGTGAACAGCCCTGCAAACAATGCAAACGAAGTTTCTCCGGATGATGTCAACCCCGTCATTCTTCGGCTTCGGTTCTTACTTCATCGTCGACCTCCCTCAGGATATCGCGACCAATCCTCCAATATCCCATTAATTTCCACTATAGATAATTGTCGATCACCATAGCGACATCAAAATGTCCGCACCCAGACTCATCAACCGCTTCATGCGGCCATCGACCTCGCCAATCTCTCTCACGACAACTTTTGCTCGCCGCTCCTTCGGCAGCTCGGTTGTTCGTCAAAACAGCGTGAACAACAATGATCGCGCCCCATCCACGGCCCCCGAGCATCGCAAGAACCAGACAAACAAGCCCCCTAATCCTCATGTGCCCAACACGACCTCCACCATGACCAAGGACTTCCCCAAGGTCGGTGAGAAGCCGGCTCCCCCGGAGATGTTGAACTCGGTCGACCCCAACTACCGGCCGGCGGATCCGTACCCCGGAAGAGTTGAGCATTTCACTGGAGGTCGCCAGGAGACGGGGGCTCAGAAGCCTGAACTTGGTGTTGGAGAGATGGAGGGCATTACCTTCAAGGTTGAGCCGCTGCGCCGGGAGGGCGAGGATGTTACTACTATGAGGGCTCGGTTGTTGTGTTCGTGATCCCCAGTTCACTTCCCTTTTGAGTCTTTCTGTTTGGAATGAGTAGCTGATGCAAATCCGGGGATGGTATAGATCAGAGCCGCAAGCGCGGAATCCTCGAGTCTGATCTCCTATTGTCTACGTTCGCCGATGTTTATCTGGCCGATATGAACAAGGAGCAGTTGCAGGAGTATGACCGGTTCTTGGATGAGAATGACTGGGATATTTACTACTGGGCCACCCAGGACCCTCCGGCTGAGGGGACTGAGGCTGCTGTTTCCACTGAAGCAGGCGCTCAGGATACTCCCACGGAGACGTGGAAGCGTACTGGAGCCAAGAGCGGCGAGTGGGCGCAGACGGTTGGTGCTTTCAAGGCTGCATACCGGCCCGTTCCGTCACGATGGGCCGACTCCAATGTGCTGAGACTCCTGCGTCAACATGTTCGGGATAACAGTGCCACGGGCTTCCATGCTGCGAAGACCAAGAAGACTGGTGGACCTGGACTGGGACGTATGCCCAATGTGCAGGTGTTCAACAACTGAGCTTGCTAGTCTGCTGCCATAGGCATGGTGGTGTGTGTGTAAGTGACGCGAGATTGTATAGTTGGCTTGTATTATATGTTGGGCGAGATTGTACAGATTATACACCGGGATGGCTTTACAGGGATATATTGGGAGGGTTATAAAAAGCATTGCCGTTCGATAAAGAGGGTTCATTCACAACTTCAACTTGATATCTATGATATAGATGGCCATAGGCGGTCAGCAGCCGAGGCAGGCGGTGAATATTCACGTGACTCGCTTATACGAGTTAGGGTTGGCGGTACCGCACAACGGCGAGAAGGGCTGGGCGCGCTAGTTAGGGCTCAGGCGGGCACGCTGAGTGTCTGCCACTCCATCCTCAATGCTGTGATTTTTATCTCCAGCCTAGAGTCAACGACAATTGCTCCGCCCGCGTTCATCCCTCTCTCCTCCCAGACTCCCAACATGGCTGAGCAGCTCGTCCTTCGCGGTACCCTTGAGGGTCACAATGGCTGGGTTACCTGCCTGGCTACCTCTCTGGAGAAGTAAGGCAACACTACACTACCACCGAAATGAACACATGAAACAAATGCGTTTTGTTGCGAAAATCGAACAAGGTGTGCATGTGCTACCGAACAAGTGGTATATGGATGCATTGTTGCGAGAAAAGAAAATGATCGCATTGGTTGAAACATGAATATTCATATATCAAATGGACAAAACTGGGTTCTGACTTTTATGTTTTTCTTCCTCGATTATAGCCCCAACATGCTGCTCTCTGGCAGTCGCGACAAGACCCTGATCATCTGGAACCTGACCCGCGACGAGCAGGCCTACGGTTACCCCAAGCGCAGCCTTGAGGGTCACTCTCACATCGTCTCTGACTGTGTATGCCCTCCGAATCACTCCGTCCCCACCATGTCCCAGTCCAGACAAGAAAAAAGAATCATCCCCACAACGAAGGACGAAGCCCGATCGAGACCTACGAGAAGGCGGGACTGGGAAAAGCATCAAGGGAAGAAAACTTTTGGCTGACCGTTCATGGGGATTATATAGGTGATCTCCTCCGACGGTGCCTACGCTCTGTCCTCCTCCTGGGACAAGTCCCTCCGCCTGTGGGAGCTCTCCACTGGTGAGACCACCCGGACTTTCGTCGGCCACACCAACGACGTTCTCTCCGTTTCTTTCTCCGCCGACAACCGCCAGATTGTCTCCGCTTCCCGTGACCGCTCCATCAAGCTCTGGAACACCCTTGGTGACTGCAAGTTCACCATCACCGACAAGGGCCACACCGAGTGGGTTTCCTGCGTTCGCTTCAGCCCCAACCCCCAGAACCCCGTCATCGTCTCCGCTGGTTGGGACAAGCTCGTCAAGGTACGTTTGAGTCGACTCCCACACATCCAAGTTTTCCATTATCCGCAATTTCGACAAGTCCAGAAGATGTTTTTGCATAAACGTATTTGCTACTTCAGAGCCTTATGGCCATGAGACAAACATTCACCAATGCCCTGATGGACACTCGACAAACATATTTTTGTTTATGTTGTTATTGCTTTTATTGCTTTCCCACTGAGAACTTCAACCTGAAGAGGATGTATCTGTGGGATCAAAGCTAACATGCAAAAACAACTAGGTTTGGGAGCTCGCTTCCTGCCGTCTCCAGACCGACCACATCGGTCACACCGGCTACATCAACGCCGTCACCATCTCCCCCGATGGATCCCTCTGCGCCTCCGGTGGCAAGGACGGCACCACCATGCTCTGGGATCTCAACGAGTCCAAGCACCTCTACTCCCTCCACGCCGGTGACGAGATCCACGCCCTCGTCTTCTCCCCCAACCGCTACTGGCTGTGCGCTGCTACCGCCAGCAGCATCACCATCTTCGACCTCGAGAAGAAGAGCAAGGTTGACGAGCTCAAGCCCGAGTACGTCGAGAAGGGCAAGAAGAGCCGCGACCCCGAGTGTGTCAGCTTGGCCTGGAGCGCTGACGGCCAGACCCTGTTCGCTGGTTACACCGACCACAAGATCCGCGCTTGGGGTGTCATGTCGAGGGCATAGATTGATACCCATCAAGTAATCCAAGGGACGGTGTTGAGATTTTAGCGGAGGAGAGAAATCAAATAACAAAGATATCTGTTTTTTATTTTTTCCTTTTCCAAACACACACACACTCAAAAAGGGCAGGCATTGGTTGGGATGTATGAGCCATGAAGCAATGAAAGCACCTCGGAGGGAGGGGAGTTCTCTCTCTTCTCTCCTGGGTTTTCACCTTGAACATGTCTAGCTTTTACTTCGAGATTTTTCGTTTCATAAAAATCCGAATTGTCTGGAATCTTGTGAAAGGGATGACATGCAAAATTGTTCTAATACCATTTAAAAGACTGTTAAAAAGTTACACCCTATCACTGGAGGAGAGACATTGTAGACATATCTTACCTTAACTACTTACTATACTGTCTTTGGTATCTCCGATGCGGGGTCTGATGATGGTATTAGTATCTATCCCTCGATTAGTAGTACTATCCCAACAGTCTTGCGGGGTCATAACATGTCGCTGTTCTGGATTCAATCCATCGGTCGATGGAATGCTCCATCCTATCTTCCTAATCCCCAGATTCAACTTCTCCATTTGAGGCTCTTCTCGGGACCATCCCTGAGATTGATCTACATGGCTAAGATCTCGTACCTTGCATGACACCAGGCTATGGCATTGATTCTGTCAGTGCTATGTAGCTATATCTCAATAGATGATATGTTGTCCGCATTCACACGATTATGGTTATTTGTTACTACTCACTTCACATACGTCCTTTGCAATAAAGCTAGCGGGTATCTTCAGGAGCGATGACCTTATATACGTTATTGCGTGCATCACCGTTCAGTCTCCAAACTTCCTTCTATTTTGTCTTAATATCTTTTTTAAAGAATTTTATATATACATTTATAGAGGCCTGGGAGCTTCGCCTTCATCTTTCTGTTCCTCTTTGTTATAATGAAGTACTACTACCAAGTTATCTAGTGTATATAGCACTATAGGGTAGCTTAGATCACATCCTGTGTCTATTGCTTATACCCACCTTGAATCCCATGCTGTATGCTACCAGCCCTATGATACTAGTAAGTAACCACCATAGAATCTATAAAAATGGTATATATTTAGCTAACAATTCCCCGATATAGTAAAAGCACCGTAATGCGGCATTGAACATTCCAAGTCGCTCAGCTAGCCGCTTAAGATGTACGCCTAAGCAAAGATAGAATTCTAGATGCATCAAACAAAGAGATAAGTGACATGGAAGCAAGACAAATATGAGAAAAGACCAATTGTTTCTATAATTGCTAAGCTGTGCACAAATAGCGGGAAGTTCCAGACCCCCTTCATTACTTGATTAGGTTACAGTTAGAGATTCCCGCCGATCGATCGTAGTTTAGCTTCTTCCCTCTCCGCCCTGCCGCATGACGTCGCAACCTAGTCTTCTTTTCTTTCTTTCTATCTCTCTCTTCAGTCGCATTCCACTTCAGCTTACCCTTTTATTACTCCGGCGCTTCAATTTTCACCCCATTGATAATTCACCCATCTCACCATGTGTGGAAGATACGCTTTAGGCGTGGTACGTGCCTCATCCTCCGCCCTGTATACTTACTCCGGTGGTACTATATATCACCATCACCATCACCACTAGCCACATGTAACTAATCGATGAACAAACAGCGCATGAGCTTCATCCGCCGCCGTCTCCAAGACCAAGGCCTTCAAGTCGACGACGCACCTCCCGACGAAGACGTCCGCGAAACCTACAACTTCGCACCGGGGAATACTGGCGCTGTATATCTTGCCGATACGCATATGTACCCGTCTTCTCATCATCATGATGAACCAGCTAGTCAACCTGACGCCGATAAAGAGGCGACTGAAGCAGCAGTAGCAGCAGCAGACGAAGCTGAGGAGGAGGATGCAGGAGAAGAATTACAAAAGAACAGCAAAGCCACCAAATACAAGCTCCACAGCATGCGCTGGGGTCTCATCCCATTCTGGACGAAACGCAACCCCGACTACGGAAGTCTTATGCGTACGATCAATTGCCGAGATGACTCATTAATCGAGGATCGGGGCTTGTGGACGTCTATGAAGCGGAGGAAGCGGTGCGCGGTGGTGTGTCAGGGGTTCTATGAGTGGTTGAAGAAGGGACCGGGAGGGAAAGAGAAGGTTCCGCATTTTGTCAAGAGGAAGGATGGGGATTTGATGTATTTTGCGGGCTTGTGGGATAGTGTTAAGTATGAGGGTGAGATAATATATTTTCATATGTCTGAGGGAATGTTGGGGTGTGGGAGCTAATTGGGATACAGATTCCGATGAATATCTCTACACATATACGATCATTACGACTTCGTCCAATCCCTACTTGAAGTTCCTGCATGATCGGATGCCCGTGATTCTGGATCCGAATAGCGAGGAGATGAAGATTTGGCTGGACCCCTCCAGGACGGAGTGGTCGAAGGAGCTGCAGTCGATCCTCAAGCCGTATGAGGGCGAGTTGGAATGTTATCCTGTGGCGAAGGAGGTGGGGAAGGTGGGGAATGATTCGCCGGATTTTATAGTTCCGGTCAGTAGTAAGGAGAATAAGAGCAATATTGCGAACTTCTTTGCCAATGCGAAGAAGGGTGCTGGGGTGAAGGTGGAGCAAGGAGTGAAAGATGAGAGGCCCACCCAAGATGCGGAATGGAGCGAGGATAATGCCCCAAAGCCGGTTGCCGGAATCAAGAGGGAGCATTCGCCGGATGTCGAGACGGAGGATACCAAGTTGCAGAAATCGGAGCCTGGTGTAGATACATCGCCGAAGAAGAGCCCGGAGAAGACCTCACCGTCCAAGCCTGTGACGCCGGCAGGGAAGAAGATGCGCAGTGCCACTCATAACAAGCCGATAAAGAAGAGCCCGCAGAAGCAGCCTCCTGCAGGGACGCAGCGGATTACGAACTTTTTTGGGAAGTGAGGAAGGAAATATGCTTGAAGGATGGAGATACCCCAGAATCTAAGCTCCGAGCTGGACCCGGGAGCTAATTGTCTGTAATTTAGGCATGATCCAAGTTGATTCAACTGCCAGCAGTTTGAATGGAGCTACTATCCCACAAAGCCCATTAAATAATACATCCATGAACTATTGTACAAGGCTCCTAACCAAGTAGCCTATTGAGACTCTTGCTGGCGCAGTCTCTGGACCAACTTCTCTCGTAAAAACGGGCTCAAACCGAAACTAATTCCAAGTTAGCACATTTCAGGCAGTCATATCAGGAATAGAGAGAACCTACATTCCATCACGAGTCACAATCCGATAAGTCCCTAACCAAGGTCAGCCACACCATCATCCAACCCCACAACGCACTATCAATCAATCACACAACTTACCACTCGCCTGGTAATTGCCATTCCCTCCCACAAACTTCCCATCAGCATCCACCTCCAGACTCCCAAAGATATCCTCAGGCCTATCCATCCCACCTCGTCAGCCCACACCCACCTCCGCAGGAACAAACAGGAAAAAAAGACATACCAAGCAATCCGCCCATACTCCGGCGGCCGCCTACCATCCGACAAATGAATCCAGCCTCCTCTTCCCGCCGAACCCGCACCCCCTTGACCACTAGCTCCGCCACTGGAGTCACCGACTTCGCCGCGCCGTCTCCTCGACCGTGCGCCACCCATCAGCACTCCCCCAGACATTAGGTTCGCGCCTGCTGTTGAGACCATCACCTGGGCCTGGGAAACCGCTTCTGGGTCTTTGTATCCATGCTCCGCGATCACTTCTTGCAGGATGTTGAGGAATTTCGGGTTCTCTTTGAAGGAATCGGGTGTTGGGGGGAGCTTGGAGGTTACGCCGAGGGCAAGGTCCGGGTTGGTGGGTTCGGAGGGGAGAAGGGAGAGGATGTTGGTGCCGTTTTTGGGGAATACGTACTGGGGAGGGAGGTTAGTAGGGTTGGTTTGTAGATTGCTTCGGTTTAGCTAGCTCTTGAATGAAGTAGTACATACGATGTGAGAATGGCCCTCTAGCGTGGACACAGCTCGGAGCTGCGTCCACCTAGGTGTCTGGCGGACGAACGAGCGAATGCCAAACATTTTGAACCAAGTGCTGATATGAAGAATGGAGTTCAATTGAACTTTAGTAAATAAACGCTTGGTAGAATATCCGAAGACCTGGAGAAACTATGACGCTGCGCAGACAAACAGGCCAAACTCATGTGACTGCGCGTTTGCGGCCGCGACCAGTTGATGGTCGGGATGCTGCACGACCATCGGCTTTCTCCCCCTCTATTGCGATTTAGCTCCCTGGGTTGTGGTTCTCGATTGCGTTTGTTATGGAGGTTCATCTACTATACTTTCTTGAATAGACAGTGGCGCTTGCGCAATCATTTTCTCTCTTTCGGTTTGCCCCGCTCAAGTCGTGTGCTTTTGCTGTCGTCCGACGTATGGAGCATCCATGATTTCATCGGCTGCTTGATTTCTTCTCCATTATCTCTCTATTTTTCTGCATGATACCCAGCCTTTGTTTGCTACTTCATACACTTTGTAAATTTTCTATTCGAGGTGGATAGATCTCATTTCAATAACCACCACCATGGCGACTCCCTCATCGAAGCCAAACCCCGGAGCGACTCCGACACATCTGACCTCGTCGCCTCGTCCGTCTGGTGCTCATATGGCCCGTCCGATTTCCCACAAATCGCCCTCAACGAGAACGCCTTCAGCTTCCGGTCATGGACACAACCAACCCCCCGTTTCAATGCACCAATATTCTACCCCTCTCGCCGCGACTACCGGAGCCGAGGACCCCGTTACCTTCAGTTCTCCGTCGGCTCTCCTCGCGCTTGGTGGCTATAGCGGGATCAGTCCGTCCCCCGCCGGACACGATGGTCTTGTCGGCGCAGGCATGAACGAGAATGATATCCAGGCCTTGGGCATGCCGGGACTGAAGCTCGGGGGTGCTCGCGACAGCGAGGAGGAGCGCAGAAGACATATAGATGATGTGGTTCAGCTCCTACGAGCCCGAGTCTCGGGGCGGGGTGTGTGCAGGGAGGGTATTGAGCGACTGAGTGATCTCGAAGGGTTCGAGTCGATTTGGCAGGAAGACAGTCTCAGCATTGCGGGGAACTTTGTCGATCTGGAGATTGACTTCCACCGGGGGTATAATGTGGTGAAGGATGTTAGTCTGAAGTATGCGACGCCTGATGCGCAAGATGGGGAGCAGCGTGACGAGGCTACGGCAGTGCTTAAGCGCGATCTGATACAGTCGCCGGAGGAAGGAGACCGGGGTGCTTGGAAGTCGTTGCGTGGGTTCCATGAGAATCTACAGTGGCTTGCCAAACATGATCGGCTTAGTCAGGAGGTCAATTGTTTCGAGGCCATTGAGGGTCTTTACGAGAGCTTGAAGCGCGTGTGGGAGGCGGAGTGGAAACATCGCAAGTTTGCGGGGGTGTACGACCATCTTTGCAGTGGCTGGGTTGGCCAGCCGTGTATGCACAAGGGGAGTCGCATTGGACTTGGTTTGGATTACTGGGTGCAGCAAGCACGGGTTCTGGATGCGAAGGAGAAGCAGAAGACGTCGTCTGATGCGATGGTGGTTGATGCGACGAATGGGCAGCCGTCGGATGATGAGCCGAGCAGTTTGGAGGGGAAATGGAGCATCGTGGTGGAGTGCGAAGAGGGTTACCCGTCCCTCCGTGTGTCGAAGGACTGGGTTGGGTCTGAGGTGTTGACGGGAGTCAATAACAATGACAATGGGCCGTCGTCGAGTGAGGCGCATGGGTCCGAAGCTGCAGTTGTCAATTGGGTTGATCCGCCGGCGACGTTGACCAACAATCAAGGTCACCCTGACGCCATGGCACTTGACTCGAACATGCTGGGTTCTTCTGCTCCTAATCGTCGATTCGTGGCGAAGTTGGAGCCGGCCTTGGATCTACCGATTCTGGCAGCATCTGATATTTACCGGCATCTTGGAATGCAATTGCCGCAAGAATTCAAGATGGTCACCTACGATGGACTCCTGGCCCCGGGCTGGTCGCCTCTGTCGGCAGCAGGTGCTATGGGTTTGGGGCCCGAGGAGGCCTCTCAGCTTGAGCGGAGGAGACGCAGAATGTCGGTGCAATCGGTTGACAGTACGGGCAAGCCGTGTACGAAGCATCACAGTTATACTTTTCAGCCGTTTGAATCTGTGGCAGGCCGAACATTGAGGGATATCCCGTTTGCACATCCCCGGCAACTCGCAGACATTATCCCGGTATGTTTCGGTGACCCAGATGTGTGTGTTGAGACTACTGACAAATTCTTCTAGATCCTTCGTCAGTACGCCTTTTTGGCCAACCTTATCCGCAGCGTTTTCAGCTCCTCGTACAAGCCTGATGAGGATAAACCCGCCACGCCCGCTGATTCTTCGAATATCTCATTCAGTCCACCCAGGTTTACCGATGGAAATTCGAAGAAGGATGTCATTATCTTGAGCAATGCCGACCCGAACGAGAAGAGGCTTGATGCACTGCTGGGAGGCTTCGAGAAACTAGCAACTTCGCCTAGTGCTAAGGGTAAAGGCCCTGTGGGGGTGGGAAACGGAAACTCTGGTCCCAATTCTACTTTTGATGATGTCAAGGTAGACGTAACGTTGCGGACGCAACTAGGACAAGCACCGGTGATCATGCTACTTTTCGCGGTGGATCAACCAGACGAAGCGTCGGAATCCGCCAACGCGGAGGCGGCATTGACGAAGGTGTCTATTAGTTTGGAAGTTGGACTGAACGGCCGGGTCTCCGTTGTGGACATGACGGGTCTCCTAGATGACAATAACACTACCACCACAGACAACATGGAGGACACGCCAGAGAGAAAGACTCTCGAGCTGCAAAGCAAAATCGCAAATGTGCTGGAAATATCACAGGACATTGGGATCTTGGTGGAATGGATTTTACGATGGGCGCGGCAGCGGAAGGGCCGCTGAAACTTGCCGCGGAGTCCAAGACAGTGAGGGGGAGGAATACGCATCGTCCACTGCGTCGGAAGTGGAGAGCGATCGATCTTCTCATCCATCGGTCTAAGCGGTGACGCAAGCTGGGATATCCTCGACCAGGAGTCGCACTAATTCAGACGTGGGGACTTGCCGAAGATTCGACCGATGTTCTGGAAGCAGACTCGGCCCATTTTTCCTGGATCACGGTCTGTGCAGTATCTGCGTGGGATGGGTGCTAGAGGCTGTCATACACCAGTTGATCCCAAACAAAACTAACTCCGTAACACCCGATTCTAAACCACCTGATATGGATTGGAGCATGTGAAAGGGAATCTAAGCTTAATGTGATGCAGTCCTGTACAACTACTGGGAAGGGGCCATGTGTTTGACCATGGTGACCCTGTGGGTGTGGAGCTAGATCCGAGGCAACTTGACAGGACTAACGGTGGAATGCCGGTCAAATCGAACAAACAATCACAACAATCACAACCGGTCCACCGAAAAAATAATACTAGCAAGACAGAAAGCGAATGAAATGTACAGTATGCCAGACCGAAAAGCAAATAGAAAAAGCACCTGACCGTCAAAGTTCCAGAGCGAGGGTTAACTTACGTGGGTGTCTGTCCATCGGCCCATCTGCAGGGGCAAACACAAAAAAGAGGAGCCTCGGGAATCTAGACCAGCCTTGATGACAACTGTCCTAGCATTTCCGTACGAAGTAGTTAACTAGTTTAACCAATGGACTTGTTGTAACTCGCAAGTCTATAATATAAGAATCCACAATGACTTATAGCAAGTTTATACCTATGAGTATCTACTGGTAATTAAAATCGGCAAATGGCCCAACAATAATAATAGTAGTAGTAGTAAGTCGAGGCGGTATAGATGAGTAGATCACCACCCGATCCCTCTGAAACCGATCAACTGAGTCACAAGCCAATTGAACCAACCGACCGCCACTTTTTCGACTCTTTTCAAACGAAAAAATAAAAATAGAGTATGAGGGATTAAATTTTAAAGCTCGACCCCAACAACATGCAAGGAGGGTTTACACTGCTACTAGGTACATGTGCTTGAGAATTCCCCTACTACGTAGTCTACTGTACTGTACGTATGTAAATATGCGGAAATAAATCCCTCTCTTCCTTCAGACTCGGTAATTGAATTGAAACATTGCAAAGAAGATACAATTGAAAATTTAGATGTTGTCTAAGTCACTATGTATGTATGCACTTTGCACTTTGCATCCATTCCGTGTCTTTCTTCCTTTCTTTTTACTTCTTCTTTCACTTTCCCCTAAAATGATGAAATCAAGAAAAAAGAGGAATGAAATTGAAGCTCGGACATTACTAGTATTATGCACTAAAATAAAATTTTTATCCTGGCGGCACCTTCCCCCCCTTTGATCAACTGCGCGAATTACTCTCCCTGACTGGCTAAAACTGGATGCCTAACTATGGGGAATTTGGGGGTAAGTGTCAGGTACTTAGTTTAGACTAGGCTTCTGATTGAATTTTACACTTTGTTGAGGTATTTTCATTCATTCATTCAATTCTTTCCTTATTTTTTTCTTATTTGTTTCTCTTTTTATTTACTTTACTGTTTATATTGAGTTAATATTACATGTATGTATGTTTTGTATGTATGTACGTACGTAAGCTTCTTTGTTTCTGTTTCACGGTTATATGGCTTAGTCCCTCCCGGTTACTTCACCTGAGTATGTAAGTATACTAAGTAGATTTCCGGTATGGAATCCTAGCCTCAGCTAGCTAGCTAAGTAAATACTTCAGCTACCCCATATTCAGGCACCGCATGATACATACATACATACATACATACATACCTGCAATGCAACAAAGCTACTACTACTCCGCGGCCGAGATCGCTGCTGTGGCTGGTGCTGATGCTGGTCCTGTCCCTGTCCCTTGAGGACTACTAGACTAACAACTAATCGGAATCCCCGGGCTTGAGTCATTGATACTACCTTGTTGAAGATCTTTTTGCTGTGTGTCGGACAGCTACCTACCATCTCTATAGTACTTCATCATCTGCATCGAGATTAAGGTTTATATTCTGCAGCAGAAGTCTCGAGACCCTACCCTTGGGGTTCTTTGCTGTAGACTAGGCATGTCGATATGACATGTCATTATTGAAGTGATATTGGATGTGTCGTGCAGATGGGTTAGGCTATTGTATTGTTGGTGCCGGTTTGGGTTGGGTCATTGTGGTGGTGTAGGTATGTAAGTATACGAATTTGGTAGTCGTTGAGTGAGTGATTTGTAGTATGAGGAATGAATGGGATAGATGGATGGATGGTGGTGATGATCCTCATGATCTAGTAAGCATAGAAGAGGAATGTGATGGCATTCGAACGTGTCGATTGATCGGCTTCGGTTTGTATATGGTTGGATTTCTCGGAACTCTGGGGGTGTTGCATGTGCATGTGCATTTACTTCATATGGCGACTCAGGGATATGTTCCGAGGGATCATGATTGTGAATAATGGATATTACTACTATCAACTTCTGCAGGTGAAGGAATGGTAGGATGGAATATAGTATGTATAGTAGTAACGAGTCTATGTAGTGATGAAGAGGTGGGTGCTTGATGAAGGTATATAGTACTCCGTACTACTAAACAATATCACGATAAGAAAGCTCAGCGATATAGTAGTCTAGTAGGTTAATATCAATACCATTCAAGTATAGCGCAAAGAAGCAAACGACTTTGTATCTCCCAGGTACACAAATGTAAATTGCATCTCACCTAATCGCTCTGGTCGGCCCGAAACCAGTCAGCGTCGTTTGTCATGACCACCCGCAACCAACCAATGAGAAGGCCACGATAAGCATCGCGAACTGAAAGGGCGTGATCTACAGACAGAACCATGTTCTGATTAGTTTTATCATCCGTTTCATTGAGGGGTTAATTCGGAAATGGGGGCTTTGAATTCTTTTTCTGCTTGGCCGGTGAGGGATATATTGATTCTTGATATGCTGAGAGGCTTGCATCGTGGTCCGCCAGTCCACTGTTGTGACGCCCGAACCCATCCTTGGTCTGCTAGTTTTTCACCATATGCTGCAGCTGTTGGTCAGTCCGGTGGTGGTGAGTAAGTTGGTCCACTCGTACTCGGCATTACCGTCCGTGTATATGCGGTTGCATTTTTTCTATTTTGTGTATCATTTTCATTCAGGGGGGGATCGGGCTACTGTATCAGGATGGATGTGAAACTCGGATCACGATCAGATACGAGTCAAGTAGGGTGATGATGGTAGTGGTCACTTGGATTGTGTACTGTGTCGTCGGCTGGAGGGCACTAGACCCATCTCGGCTAGTCATTGTGCAGCGCCACAGTCAGTGATGGCTCAGTTCCTGCTATTCTCGCTCCCGTTCTATTCTGGGGCGCGGCACACAGCCCGGCTTCCAGATTCGCACAGTAACCGGGAGGGATGTGTTGAAGGAAGATGACGCTTTTATGGCGCACGGTTTAAGACACTGAACCTGATGTCTCCCAGGTGGATTCCAGGCTATCCTGCCCAGTTCTCCAACAATGACATCTGATACCTCATGTTGGCATCACCGTGTGGAGGCCAGCCATGACGTCCACAGGGCTGATCGGAAACGCAGCCACTCTCTCCCTCGCGGATTCCTGAAACTCCCGACTTGGCCTCTCTGTCATTTGCTGCAGCACCCCTTCCACCCACCCCCGGCAGACAAAGACTCGCGGAGAAAGGGAATGACCAAACCCACGATCGGACACTAACAGACGAATGGGTCACCACAGAGCATGCGGATGGGAAATCCTGGGGTTGAACAAGGATGCTCTAACTCAGGAGTAACCTCTTTTTTCCCTTCTTCCCTCTTCCCCCCCCATCCATTCATCCGCCGTTCATTTGACTTTTTCCCTTCTGGAACCGTTTTTCCCTCCAGGCTCGGCAGAAGAGGCGGTGCGCCCACGAGTAACACACCGTACTCACATGATATTAGTCACAAAACCTAATTATAACTCCAGTTAACATGGAAACAGTGGCCGGTCTCGGGGCTGGCGGGCGGCTCTCTTGCCATTCTCCCTTCAAGGAATGTTTTGCCACGCCCCACTCCCGGCAAATCAGCCAGTCGACTTGCGTTGCGAGGCAAGGCATCCGGGAAATGACCTCTCTTGGGTTTACCCGCTTGTGTGTAACTGTAATTCATGGTGGTAAGCTGTCAGACTTTGTATGCGCAATGTACAAGCATCCTTTGGACAACTGATATGAGTTGACGGGGGGTGAAATGGGAACGGGATATTCCACCGGGCCGGTAGCCTGGATAAGGGACAATAGTTCGTTCGTGATGCCTTTTTTGAGAGTGCTGTGCGGAAAGGGCAAAGCGTCAACCCAAAGTGTATTGTCCATGCGCGATTAAAAGGAAATGAAAAGGCCGATAAGTGAAAAAAAATCAGTCGGCAGGCGCGCCATGATCCACCCACGCGACTCATGGCGGGGTTTGAGGGGCAGCCACTGATAAGGGAAATCCTCCCAATTTAGATAACCGCAGGTACAGGATTTGCGTATTGTGAATGGAACAAATTGTGTATTGGCGCTTACACGGAAGGTCGTGATTTGTTTCCTATCAGGCGCTCCGGTAATTCATCCGTGATATCTGGTCACAACAAGTAGATACTCAACGCAGCTTCACGATAGTAGTAGTAGTGGTAGTCAGGCAATGCACTACTGCCATCCGCTTCAATATCCCCCAAATTGCAACAAAGATAAGACGGGAAAGATAGACACCGGTACCTCGATATGTCTTTCCTATCATTGCAGCCATCATGTCACACCTACCAATAGGATCCCATGTCAATGCGATTAGGCGCAGGCAACGTTCGAGCTATTCGGGTCCTGCAGCTGATATGCATCGGAACCGATCACTGGTTGATAATTCCTCTTAGCAACTAATTGCTGTCGCTATCTCTGGGTAACGAAAGGCCAGAGTGGGAAAAAGTGAGGGAT